TATAAAAAATTAGCAAGGAGTGGTGGCAGGCACTTGTAGTCCCAGCTACTCAGGAGGCTGAGGCAGGAGAATGGCATGAACCTGGGAGGCAGAGCTTGCACTGAGCCAAGATCGCACCACTGAACTCCAGCCTGGGTGACAGAGTGAGACTCTGTCTCAAAAAAAAAAAAAAAGAAATAATCAATGAACTTAGCAGGGTTGTAGAATATACAAGATCCATATGTAAAACTACAGAATGTTTAGAAGAAAAGGTAAGAGGAAATCTTTGTGACCTTGGGTTAAGGCAAAGTTCTTAGAGATGACAGCTAAGATATGCTATCAAAAAATATAATCCAGCTGGGCACAGTTGCTCCTGACTATAATCCCAGGGCTTTAGGAAGCTGAAGTGGGAGAACCGCTTGAGGCCAGGAGTTTGAGACCAGCCTGGGCAACAAAGCAAGACCCCCATCTCTACAAAAAATAAAAACCTTAGCCAGGCATGGTGGGGCATTGCCTGTAGTCTCAGTTACTTGGGAGGCTGAGGTCGGAGCCCAGGAGTTCCAGGCTGCAACGAGTTATCATCACACCACTGAACTCCAACCCAGGCAACAGCGGAACTCTCGCAAAAAAAAAAAAAAAAAAAAAAAAAATCCATAAAAACAGAATAGCTTGGACTTCATCAAAATTAAAAACTTTTCCTCTGCAAAAGATACTGTTAAGAGAACAAAAACACTGGGAGAAAACATAAGCAAATCATGCTTTGACAAAATGCTTGTAACAGAATGCATACTTTACAAAACTAGGCTGGGCTTGGTGGCTCACGCCTGTAGTCCCAGCACTTTGGGAGGCCAAGGCAGGTGGATCCCCTGAGGTCAGGAGTTCCAGACCAGCCTGGCCAACATGGTGAAACTCTGTCTCTACCAAAAAAATACAAAAATTAGCTGGGCATGGCAGCACACCATGTAGTCCCAGCTACTCGGGAGGCTAAGGTGGAAGAATTGCTTAAACCCAGGAGGTCGAGGTTTCAGTGAGCCGAGATTGCACCACTGCACTCCAGCCTGGGCAACAGAGCAAGACTCCGTCAAAAAAAAAAAAAAAAAAAAAAAACTGTCAAAAAAAACCACACCTAACAAATAAAAAACAAAAAACAAATCTCAACAAGAACACAAACAACCCAATTTAAAAGGACAAAAGATCATGAACAGATACTTCACCAAAAAACAGATATAAATAGCAAATAAGCACAGGAAAAGATACTCAACATCACTAATTATCAGAGAAATGCAAATTAAAACCACAATGAGATATCATCTTACACCAGTCAGAACGACTATTATTAAAAAGTTAGGTTGGGTGTGGTGGCTCATGCCTGTAATCCTAGCACTTTAGGAGGCTGAGGAAGGAGAAACACTGGAGCCCAGAGATCCAAGACCAGCTTGGGCAACATACAAGATCCTGTCTCTACAAAATATAAAAAGTTAGCCAGGCATGGTAGCACATGCCTATGGTCCCAGCTACTCAGGAGTCTGAGGTGGGAGGATCACTTGAGCCCAGGAAGTCAAGGCTGCAATAAACTATGACCAAGCCACTGCACTCCAGCCTGGGTGACACAGCAAGACACCCCCCATCTAAAAAAAAAAAAAAAAGATGTTGGCATGGACACAGAGAAAGGGAACACTTTAACACACTGGTGGTGGGAATATAAATTAGTTGAGCTTCTATGGAAAACAGTATGGAGATTTCTCAAAGAACTAAAAACAGAACTACCATTCAACCCAGCAATCCCACTAGGGGGAATATACTCAAAGGAAGAGAAATTATTATATTAAAAAGACACCTGCACTCGTGCAGCACTATTCTCAACAGCAAAGTCATAGAACCAACCTCAGCATCCATCAACGGATACAGAAAATATACACCACAGCCGGGCGTGGTGGCTCATGCCTGTAATCCCAGTACTTTGGGAGGCCGAGGCAGGCAGATCACTTGAGGTCAGGAGTTTGAGACCAGCCTGGCCAATATAGTGAAATCTTGTCTCTACTAAAAATAAAAAATTAGTCAGGCATGGGGGCACATGCCTGTAGTCCCAGGTACTGGATAGGCTGAGGCAGGAACAGAGCTTGAACCCAGGAGGTGGAGGCAGCAGTGAGCTGAGATCACACCACTGCACTCCAGCCTGGGTGACAGAGTGAGAAAGAAAAAGAGAAAGAGAAAGAAAAAGAGAAAGAGAAAGAAAAAGGGAAAGGGAAAGGGAAAGGGAGAAGGAAGGAAGGAAGGAAGGAGGGAGGGAGGGAGGGAGGGAAGGAAGGAAGGAAGGAAAAGAAAGAAAAGAAAAGAAAGAAGGAAAGAAAAGAAGGAAAGAAAGAAGGAAAAGAAAGAAGGAAGGAAGGAGAGAGAGGAAGGAAGGAAGGAAGGAAGGAAGGAAGGAAGGAAGGAAGGAAGGAAGGAAGGAAGGAAGGAAGGGAGGGAAGAAAGAGAAGAGAGGGCCGGGCGCGGTGGCTCAAGCCTGTAATCCCAGCACTTTGGGAGGCCGAGACGGGCGGATCACGAGGTCAGGAGATCGAGACCATCCTGGCTAACACAATGAAACCCCGTCTCCACTAAAAATACAAAAAAATTAGCCGGGCGTGGTGGCGGCCCCTGTAGTCCCAGCTACTCGGGAGGTTGAGGCAGGAGAATGGCGGGAACCCGGGAGGCGGAGCTTGCAGTGAGCCGAGATCGCGCCACTGCACTCCAGCCTGGGCGACAGAGCGAGACTCCGCCTCAAAAAAAAAAAAAAAAAAAAGAAAGAGAAGAGAGAAGAAAAATATATACCATGGAATACCACCCAGCCATAAAAAAGAATGAAGTCATGCCCTTGGCACCAACATGGATGGAACTAGAGGCCATTATCCTAAGTGAACTCAGAAACAGAAAATCAAATATCACATGTTTTCATTTATAGGCGGGAGCTAAACAGCTGGTACTCATGGACATAACAGTGGAGATAATAAACACTGGGGACTCCAAAAGAGGGTAAGGGAGGGTGGAAGAGGGACAAGGGTTGAAAAATTACCTGTCGTGTACAATGTTCACTATTTGGGTAGTGGATACTCAAATCTCCACCGTTATGCAGTATACCCATGTAACAGTAATTTTTTTTTTTTTTTTTTTTTTTTTTGAGACGGAGTCTCGCTCTGCCGCCCAGGCTGGAGTACAGTGGCCTGATCTCAGCTCACTGCAAGCTTCCGCCTCCTGGGTTTACGCCATTCTCCTGCCTCAGCCTCCCGAGTAGCTGGGACTACAGGCGCCCGCCACCTCGCCCGGCTAGTTTTTTGTGTTTTTAGTAGAGACGGGGTTTCACTGTGTTAGCCAGGATAGTCTCGATCTCCTGACCTCGTGATCCGCCCGTCTCGGCCTCCCAAAGTGCCGGGATTACAGGCTTGAGCCACCGCGCCCGGCCGTAACAGTAATTTTTAAAAACCCACAATTAAATGCCTGTATACACCCACTAGTATCGCCGAAGAAAAAATTTTAATGACAATACAAAGAGGTCAAGAGGATGTAGATAGAGCAAGTAGAACTCTCATGAATTACTGGTGGGAATGCAAAATGGTACAGCCACAATAAAAAAGTTTGCCAGTTACTTAGAGAGTTAAACTTAAGGCCAGGCATGGTGGCTCACACCTGTACTGCCAGAACTTTGGGAGACTGAGGCAGGTGGATTGCTTTAGTCCAGGAGTTTGAAACCAGCTTGGGCAACATGGCGAAAGCCCATCTCTACCAAAATCCAAAAAATTAGCTGTATGTGGTAGTGTGTACCAAAGTCTTAGAACTGAATATCAAAAAGAATGAATCTTACTGTATGTAATGAAAAAAACAACCAACCACCAAACAGCATAAGTTACTTACCAGTGAAACAGTGCATTTGGTGCAGTAACTGTGAGGCCTGGGTAGGAGCTTCTCATACTTTGGGAATACAGACAGGGGAAAGACCACTGGGCTAGGGGAGATCAAGGAAAGCTACACATTTAAATGGGCCGGAAGGAAGAACTACAGGGACAAAGATAGAAAGATAAGGAAGTGCACATCCAGTGTGTCAAGGGCAGACGGTGTAGAACAGAAGAGATGAAGACCTTGTGTGACATACCAAGCAGGGTTGACCTTACGTAAAGGAGTGACATGATCTTATCTATGTCTTACCACTCTTGTAGCTATGTGTACAATGAGAAGTAGGAAAAAATAAATGAGGGAGATTAATGAAGAGGTACTTATAACACTCTGGGAAAATGATGAGGATGACTCTCAGGAAGGAGCGATGCAAATATGACTGCAAGCGGTGCCTCAGAGGGCCATCTTAAAAGATTAGGTCAGTGATGACATGAGGCATGAGGAACAGACACCGTTCCTAAGTAAGTCTTCGTAGACAGGAAAAGTCAAAGGAACCGCAGGTGTAAGGGGGGGGGGGAATTGACAGGTTGTACTGGTGACTTGCTGGGTTTGAGGGACCTTTAGGGCATGCTGCTGCTAATGCAGTCTGTATTATCATTTTGAAACCCCACGTCTTTTCCCTTAGACTCTCCACATGTTTCACAGAGAAACCAGACTCTGACCAGAGCTAAAGTGGCCACAGTATCACTAAGGGACAACTTGAGCAAAGCAGATCAACAAAGAGCACTGCAGCTCTGCTCCAGAGTCTCTGGGCAACTTGACACAGCAAGATAGACGGCAGCCCCAGGCGCCATAGGAGAGTCCCAGCCAGCACACTGAACCCGTAGGCCAGGAACAGCCAGTCCATACAAATTCTGATTAAACGAGCTTTAAGCGCTCAAACCATGCCATATGGAGAAAACCACAGGGATCCAATCGTACAGGTGCCCACTCAAGAGATCACACTTTCTGAAAAATATGAAAGAGAATCAAACGAATCTTCCTTGGACCTAGAGTTATTTTTCTCTCTGAGACAATGTGCTTGTCCTTCCTATGACGTTCTGCACAGTAAATGTGAGCATCTTCTTCATACATGGACTTCTTTTTCTCACCATGAACCTCGGCTCTAATGTACTTGTTCCTCATCTCCTGCTGCTGACGCACGTAGGTCTTCCAGGTCTGGAACATCAGGTTATACAGGTAATACCTAAGGACCCAAAAAAAGCAAACGGCATTTCTTTAAAATAAAACAACAGGCCGGGCGCGGTGGCTCACACTTATAATCCTAGCACTTTCAGAGGCCGAGGCAAGGAGTTCAAGACCAGCCTGGCCAATATGGTGAAACCCCATCTCTACTAAAAATACAAAAATTAGCCGGGTGTGGTGGCACACGCCTGTAATCCCAGCTACTCCGGAGGCTGAGGCAGGAGAATCACTTGAACCCAGGAGGCAGAGGTTGCAGTGAGCCAAGATCGCGCCACTGCACTCAGCCTGAACAACAGAGCAAGACTCTGTCTCAAAAAACAAACAACAGCAAAACAACTCCTAATCCAACACACCAAGTCTGTTCTATACTCAGAAGAAATTAACATTGACGCTTCTGATTTAAAAAACAAAAAACAAAAAAACCCATATCTGCACCAAAGCTAAAATTTCATTTCCTACAATCACAATGAACTCTATTCTCTTTGAAGAAGAGTCATTCTCCATACCTTAAAGTGTCACTGAGGAAGCAAAGGCTTGACTGCTCCAAGAATAAGCTGACTTTCATCATCCACAAATTCATGATGTTTGGGCCAGGCAGAGTAGCTCACACCTGTAATCTCAGCACTCTGGGAGGCCGAGGCAGGCAGATTACCTGAGGTTGGGAGTTTGAGACCAGCCTGGTCAACATGGTGAAACCCCGTCTTTACTAAAAATATAAAAATTAGCCACACGTAGTGGCATGTGCCTATAGTCTCAGCTACTCAGAGGCTGAGGCAGGAGAATCGCTTGAACCCGGGAGGCGGTGGTTGCAGTGAGCTGAGACTGCTCTACTGCACTCCAGCCTGGGTGACACCAAGACTCTGTCACAAATTTAAAAAAAAAAAAAATCCATGATGTTTGGAAAGACAATCTTGTCTCTTTTTTTTAACACAGGGTCTCACTCTGTCACCTAGGCTGGAGTGCAGTAAGGTGAACATGGCTCACTGTAGCCTTGAGGCCTCCCTGGGCTCAGGTACTCCTCCCACCTTGGCCTCTGAGAAGCTGGGACTACAGGAACACACCACCACTCCCGGCTAATTTTTGTATTTTTTTGTAGAGGGGGCTTTTGCCATGTTCCCTAGGCTGGTCTCAAACTCCTGGGCTCAAGTGATCTCTTGCCCCGGCCTCCTAAAGTGCTAGGATTATAGGTGTGAGCTACGATGCCTGGCCGACAGCCACATCTTAATTATCTTAACTATCCACACTATAAAAAACATCACTTCTCGTTTGCACTACAACATGGTCATTGACGCCTTTTCCTTCTTCTTGATACATACGCCATACATTTTAAGACTTTTGTCTCTTCATATTTTCCTAGTTTTAAATATTTTATTAACATTCATTTTAAAAAGTTTTTTCTTTTTTTGAGACAGAGTCTCACTCTGTCGCCCAGGCTGGAGTGCAGTGGCATGATCTCAGCTCACTGTAACCTCCGACTCCTAGGTTCAAGCAATTCTTCTGCCTCAGCCTCCGGAGTGGCTGGGGACTACAGGCACATGCCACCATGCCCAGCTAATTTTTTTTTTTTTTTTTTGAGACGGAGTCTCGCTCTGTCGCCCAGGCTGGAGTGCAGTGGCCGGATCTCAGCTCACTGCAAGCTCCGCCTCCCGGGTTCACGCCATTCTCCTGCCTCAGCCTCCCGAGTAGCTGGGACTACAGGCGCCCGCCACCTCGCCCGGCTAGTTTTTTGTATTTTTTAGTAGAGACGGAGTTTCACCGGGTTAGCCAGGATGGTCTCGATCTCCTGACCTCATGATCCGCCCGTCTCGGCCTCCCAAAGTGCTGGGATTACAGGCTTGAGCCACCGCGCCCGGCCCCAGCTAATTTTTTTATTTTTTTATTTTTATTTTTTGGAGACAGAGTCTTGCTTTGTTGCCCAGGCTGGAGTCCAGTAGTGCGATCTTGACTTACTGCAGTCTCTGCATGCTGAGTTCAATGAATTTTCCGGTCTCAACCTCCCAAATAGCTGGGACTACAGGTGCATGCCGCCACGCCCAGCTAATGTTTTCTGTATTTTCATTGAGATGGGGTTTCACTGTGTTGCCCAGGCTGGAATTTTTATATATATATTTTTTTAATAGAGACGAGGTTTCACCAATGTTAGCCAGGCTGGTCTCGAAATCCTAACCTCAAGTGATCCACCCGCCTCAGCCTCCCAAAGTACTGGGATTACCAGAGTGAGCCACCACACTCGGCCTTCCCCATATATTCACTACTGCAATTCCTAGGCCTTGATTTCATATTCTATCTGCTTACTAAAACAACTCAGTGCGTCTATTTTAATCTGAAATATCCATAAATCAGAACTCTTGTTCCAAAGAACCTAGACAAAGAAATGACTACAATAAGAGTTAATACCATTTTAAATATACAATCTATAAGAAATGACATTCAGGTTTTAAAAAAAGGTCTAAAAATGTATATTTGATATAATAATTCTCAACTGTTACTTTCCCCTTCACTTATCCCTGGGAATGTGAATATCAAGGATTAAGAGTTTTTTCTTTTCTTCTTTGTGTGTGTGTGTGTGTGTGACAGGATCTAGCTCTGTTGGCCAGGCTGGAGTGAGTGGCACAATCTCGGCTCACTGAAATCTCTGCCTCCCGGGCTCAAGCAATCCGCCTGCCTCAGCCTCCCAAGTAGTTGAGACCACAAGCGCACATCCCTACACCCTGTTGGTATTCTGTACTTTTTGGTAGAGATGGGGTTACATCATGTTGCTAAGGCTGGTCTCAAACTCTTGCGCTTAAGTGATCCACCTGCCTCGGCATTCCAAAGTGCTGGGATTACAGGCATGAGTCACTGTGCCTGGCCTCTATTTTCTTAATATTCTATGTTGGGCATATATTTTCTCCCACAATCAATGTAAATTAGAACAACTTATTATTTTTAAAACAGGGTGGTTTCATGCCTGTAATCCCAGCACTTTGGGAGGCCAAGGCGGGAGAATCACCTGAGGTCAGGAGATTGAGATCAGACTGACCAACATGGAGAAACCTCATCTCTACTAAAAATACAAAATTAGCTGGGCATGGTGGCGCATGCCTGTAATCCCAGCTACTAGGGAGGCTGAGGCAGGAGAATCACTTGAACACAGGGGGCGGAGGTTGCAGTGTACCACTGCACTCCAGCCTGGGCAACAAGAGTGAGATTCCATCTCAAAAAAAAAAAAAAAAAAATAGGCCAGGTGCAGTGGCTCACGCCTGTAATCCCAGCATTTTGGGAGGCCAAGGCGGGCACATCACCTGAAGTCAGGAGTTCGAGACCAGCCCAGTCAACATGATGTAACCCTGTCTCTACTAAACCTACAAAAATTAGCTGGGCATGGTGGCACATGCCAGTAATCCCAACTATTCGGGATACTGCGGCAGGAGAATTGCTTGAACCTGGGAGGCGGAGGTTGCAGTGAGCCAAGATCGTGCCACTGCACCCCAGCCTGGGCAACAGAGTGAGACTCTGTCTTAAAACAAACAACAAAAAAAAAACCCAGAATACTTTCAGAATTAGAAATTATATAGAAATGAAAATCACTGGGAAAATCCCATTCAAACTATTAGCATAACCAACACATACTGGTTACCTGAATTAGAGGTGTGGGAGGTGTGTGTGTATGTGTGTCTGTGTGCACGTGCCCAGCATGTGCATGCATGCTTGGGTTTAATTTGGAACTTTGATCTTGCTAACTCTAAAAATGATTTGAAGAAAAACAAAAAGTGATCCAAAGTTTGCTTCTTTTGACCATAAACATGCCAACACATAATCATCTGATAATGTGCATCAGTAAAACTGAAGGGGTATAACACGAAACCTGACCTGTAGTGACAGTCAGCTCGAACACAGAGTTTCCACTCATGATGGAAAACCCACCACTCTTCTTTCCATTCTTCGAAGACCTTCCGTAGTAATCGCTGCTCATAGTAAAATCTAGAGCAATACAAAAAAATCATATATATATATGATGATGTTGGAGCTAACATCTCTTCTCAAATCACAGTTTCATATTGTTGCCTTCTCACAAAAAAGTATGGCCAGGCACAGTGGCTAACACCTGTAATCCCAGCACTTTGGGAGGCCGAGGCGGGCATATCACGAGGTCAGGAAATCAAGATCATCCTAACACGGTGAAACCCCATCTCTACTAAAAACAAACAAACAAACAAACAAACAAAAAATGAAAACACCAGCTGGGCGCAGTGCCTCACGCCTGTAATCCCAGTACTTTGGGAGGCCAAGGCGGGTGGATCACAAGGTCAAGAGATCAAGACCATCCTGGCCAACATGGTGAAACCCCATCTCTACTAAAAATGCAAAAATTACCTGGGCACGGTGGCACGCGCCTGTAGTCCCAGCTACTCAGGAGGCTGAGGCAGGAGAACTGCTTGAACCCGGGAGGCAGAGGTTGCAGTGAGCTGAGACTGTGCCACTGCACTCCAGCCTGGTGACAGAGCAAGACTCCGTCTCAAAGAACAAAAAGTAAACACCAAGATAGATTAAAAATAGAGGCCAGGCATGGTGGCTCATGCCTGTAATCCAAACGCTTTGAGAGGTCAAGGTGGGAGGACTGCTTGAGGCCAGGAGTTCAAGACCAACCTCGGCAACATAGCAAGACTCCATCTAGGGCTGAAGTGGTAGCTCATGGCTGTAATCCCAGCACTTTGGGAGGCTGAGGCAGTTGCATTGCTAGAGTTCAGGACCAGGCTGGGTGACATGGTGAAACCCCGTCTCTACAAAAAATAAAAAATTAGCCAGGCACAGTGGGGGCATGCTCTTGTAGTCCCAGCTACCTGGGAGGCTGAGGTGGGAGGATCACTTGAACCCAGGAGGCAGACGTTCCAGTGAACTGAGATTGCACCACTGCACTCCAGCCTGGGCGAAAGAGTAAGAGCCTGTCTCAAATACAAGAAAAAAAAAAAGGCCAGACACGGTGGCTCACACCTGCAATCCCAGCACTTTGGGAGGCCGAAGTGGGCGGATCACAAAGTCAGGAGTTCGAGACCAGATTGGCCGGCATAGTAAAACCCTATCTCTACTAAAAATACAAAAATTAGCTGGGCATGGTGGTATATGCCTGTAGTCCCAGCTACTCGGGAGGCTGAGGCAGGAGAATCGCTTGAACCTGGGAGGCAGAGGTTGTGGTGAGCCGAGATCGAGTCCCTGCACTCCATCCTGGGCAACAGAGTGAGACTTTGTCTCAAAAAAATAAATAAATAAATAAGATAGAATAAAATAAAATAAAACACTCCATCTCTACCCAAAAAATAAAAATAAAAAAATTTGTGACGATGTCTCACTACATTACCCAAGCTGTTCTCAATCTCTTGGGCTCAAGCGATACTCTCACCTGAGCCTCCCAAAGTGCTGGGATTACACACATGAGCCACTGTACCCAGCTCTGAAATTTTTTTTTTTTTTTTTTTGAGACAGAGTTTTGCTCTTGTTGCCCAGGTTGGAGTGCAATGGTGTGATCTCTGCTCACCGCAACCTCTGCCTCCTGGCTTCAAGCGATTCCTCTGCCTCAGCCTCCTGAGTAGCTGGGATTACAGGCATGCGCCACCACGCCCAGCTAATTTTATTTTTTGTAGAGACGGGGTTTCTCCATGCTGATCAGGCTGGTCTCAAACTCCTGACTTCAGGTGATCCGCCTACCTCAGCTTCCCAAAGTGCTGGGATTACAGGCTTGAGTCACCGCGTCCGGCCCCCCCAGAATTTTTTTAGTTAGCCAAGTATGGAGGCATGTACCTGTGGTCCCAGCTACTCCAGAGGCTTAGATGGGAGGACAGCTTGAGCCCCAGAGGTCAAGGCTGCAGTGAGCCATGAATGTGCCACTGCACTCTGGTCTGGGCAACAGAGCGAAACCCTATCTCTTAAACAATCAAAAAAACTTAAAAAGAGGGAAAATAGACATATTTGGCTTTTTCAGGTCAGAATCTCAGAGCTACTTAAACCAGAAATGAGGTTAAAAATTTTCTAATATTGATTTTACTGATTAAAGATGTTAAAGTAAAATAAAAATCTGACTTTTCTTTGGAGACAGGGTCTCGCTCTGTTGCCCTGGCTGGAATGCAGTGGTACAGTCACGGCTCACTGCAGCCTTAACATCCTAGGCTCAAGTGATCCTTTCACCTCAGCCTCCCAAGTAGCTGCGACTACGGACATGCTCCTCTACTACACCTGGTTAATTTTTTATTTTTTGTAGAGGCAGGGTTTCACTATGTTACCCAAGCTAGTCTTGAACTCCTGAGCTCAGGTGATCCTCCTCCCTTGGTCTCCCAAAATTTGACTTTTCAAATACCATAAAGTGAATTGAAAATTACTATTTTTAATTTTTTATTCACCAGAATGAAAAATATTTTTATTACTAAAAAGTAGGAATGTCTTATTTACAAACATATGAAATTAAAGTTATAAAATAAGTAAATGCCTAATAATATTCCTAGTACTTAACAGGAACATACGATATGAATTTAGCTGAAATCTGAAGAGGGGAGTTACAAACAACAGCAAAAGATGAGTAAGAGAAATTCGTCAGGAAAAAGGTAATAAGGAACACAGAAGAGCAGTGACAGATGGTGTTGATTTTTTAAAATTTTTTTTGTAACAGTCTTGCTCTGTCACCCAAGCTGGAGGGCAGTGGCATGATCTCTGCTCACTGTAATCTCCACCTCATGGGTTCAAGTTATTCTCGTGCCTTAGTCTCTCAAGTAGCTGTAACTCCAGGTACATGCCACCCAACCGAGATAATTTTTTGTATTTCAGTAGAGACGGGTTTTCACCATGTTGCCCAGGCTGGTCTCACACTCCTGAGCTCAGACAATCTGCCCACCTTGGCCGCCCAAAGTGCTGGGATTACAAGCATGAGCCACCGCACTGGCCTGTCAATCACTTTGAATTTCTTTTCATGGTTCTGCAGGTTACTAACATGTTGCTCCTCCTAATCCACTCATAGTTTTGTTTTAATTTGAGACAGAGTCTCGCTCTGTTGCCCAGGCTGGAGTGCAGTGGCGCGATCTCAGCTCACTGCAAGCTCCGTCTCCCAGGTTCTAACGATTCTCCTGCCTCAGCCTCCTGAGTAGCTGGGACTACAGGTGCATGCCACCACGCCCAGCTAATTTTTGTACTTTTAGTAAAGATGGGGTTTTGCCATAATGGCCAGGCTGGTCTCGAACTCCCGAGCTCGGGTGGACCACTGGCCTCAGCCTCCCAAAGTGCTGGGATTACAGGCGTGAACTACTGCGCTCAATTCCACTCACGGTTTTTTTTTTTTTTTTTTTTTTTGAGACGGAGTCTTGCTGTGTCACCCAGGCTGGAGTGCAATGGCCAGATCTCGGCTCACTGCAAGCTCCGCCTCCCAGGTTCACGCCATTCTCCTGCCTCAGCCTCCCGAGTAGCTGGGACTACAGGCACCCGCCACCTCGCCCGGCTAGTTTTTTTTTTGTATTTCTTATTAGAGACGGGGTTTCACCGTGTTAGCCAGGATGGTCTCGATCTCCTGACCTCGTGATCCGCCCGTCTCGGCCTCCCAAAGTGCTGGGATTACAGGCTTGAGCCACCGCGCCCGGCCCCACTCACGATTTTTAAAAACTAGCTTACAAAGACATACATAAGGGAATTCACCTCACTATTGCTTATAATAATAACAAGAGAAGAGTGAAACCCCACAAATACCCATCAAAAGAGGACAGGTTAATAATACAATTCAATCAATGCCATGCGCTCATTTTCTATGAATGAGGCAGACCTACGGGTACTGAAGGGACAGATGCCTCAGAAAGTGATTTGGTGAAAAAATAAAATCACTGCACGGTATGTATAATATAGTATGTTTTTTAAAAAATTAGGTCAGGCGCAGTGGCTCACATCTGTAATCGAAGCTCTTTGGGAGGCCAAGGCGGGCAGATCACTTGAGGTCAGGAGTTTGAGACCAGCCTGGCCAACATGGCAAAACCTACCAAAAATACGAAAATTAGCTGGGCATGGTGGTGCATGCCTGTAGTCCCAGCTACTTGGGAGGCTGAGGCACAAGAATTGCTTCAACCCAGGAGGTGGAGGTTGCAGTAAGCTGAGATCAGGCCACTGCACTCCAGCCTGGCTGACAAAGCAAGACTCTGTCTCAAAGAACGAATGAATAAATAAATAATAGAATATATATATATATTTTTTGAGACAGAGCTTCCCTCATGTCGCCCAGTCTAGAGTGCAATGGCACGATCTCAGTTCACTGCAACCTCTACCTCCCGGGTTCAAGTGATTCTCCTTCCTAAGCCTCCCATGTAGCTGGGCTTACAGGCATACATGACCACGCCCAGCTAATTTTTGTATTTTTAGTAGAGACAGGGTTTCACCACGTTGGCCAGGCTGGGCTTGAACTCCTGACCTCAGGTGATCTGCCTGCCTCAGCCTCCCAAAGTGCTGGGATTACAAACATGTGCCACCGCACCCAGCCTAATTTTATGTATTTACAGCACCCATATGTTGGAATACATCAAATATATATACACACACACACACACACACACACTTGTGTACATATAAACAAGCATGTGTGTATGTATACATAAATGATTATATCATACATATTAAAAGCCTGAAAAGACTCCAGAATATCAAACTAATGCCAGTGGTTCTCTCTTGGGGAAGGGGGGATTATAGGAGACTGGCTCCTAAACTGTACATTTCTATAATATTTGAAAGATTGTTGAACAGATTCATTCACAATTCTTTTTTTTTTTTTTTTTTTTTGAGACAGAGTCTTCTCTGTCACCTAGGCTGGAGTACAGTGGCGTCATCTCGGCTCACTGCAACCTCTGCCTCTAGAGTTTAAGCAATTCTCCTGCCTTAGCCTCCTGAATAACTGGGATAACAGGCACACGCCACCACGCCCAGCTAATTTTTGTATTTTTAGTAGAAACGGGGTTTCACCATGT